TCCTCCTTCCCCTCCAATAGCCCTCCCCCCATGGTGGATTCTTCCACCTTGTTGCATAACCACAGTTCAAGTTCAGTTGAGATTCCTTCATTGTAAGCATACACCAAGCATAGAGTCTAAAATCTTATCGTCCAGATAAGTTCAACGGTTTCTTGGGGAGACATTCTCTGGACTGAAGGCAGAACCGACAGAGTAAAATCCCGATCAATCAGAAGCCCCAACATAACATCAGGAACAGTATACAATGTTATGGTACTAATTGACATAGTATTGAGTAAACAATATATTGTAAATAATGCAAGTTCTTAACCACATCCTGTGACTACTTCATTGACATTTCAACAATTGAGGTGTGTAACAGTTTTTTGGAGGGGTGTGCAGAGAAATCTTCGGTAGCTTGGTGAGGAGTACTTGCTCTGTGTCCTACCTAGTAGGTATGTGTGAGTCCATACTGACCAAGCTTTCCTTGTTGTTCTGTTTATCTATTCTAATTTGTGTGTGTGTGTCTGTGTTTGGGGGGGGGGCAACCCTGATAGTCATTGCAGAGAGTTAATACTTATCTGAAAATACATTTTGTTATTGCTTTGTAAGAAAGTTTCCAAAAATATCGTTGAAAATGAGCACTGGAGATGCTCTTTTTGGATGCACATTTTAATGAGTTTCAATTTAACTTTTAACAAATATTAAAGGGTTCATTACATTTCAATAAAGATGTCTCAAAAACCTATACAATAACATTGCTTCAAAGAGAAGGGTAGATGGAGCAGAGATAGAAATGAAGATTTCTATAAAGAAATCTGTAGCTGGATTGGACGTTGAGAACTGTCAAAATTGGGGATCTACAGCCAAGTCTTCATTTTCTAATATTGTTAGTTATATAATCCGTCTACGGCCATACCACCCTGAATGTGCCCGATCTCGTCTAATATTGTTAGTTATATAATCCACCCTAGTTAAGGATGCAGTTTTTGGGAAGATGACTTTCTGCTGATAAATGTTTTTGGTTCATGGTACTCTAAACAGCTGAAGCAAATTCCTCATTGAAATAAGACTCAGTGGCTCATCTGGTGGCATGCTCCTTATGGTCCTTGTGACATGTCAGGAAAAGGTAATTGTGTTTGCCCATTTTCTGTCATATTTCCAAGGAAGCTCAATAAGTTCTTGGAGCCTAGCTTCTGATCAATACTAACAAGGATTCATGACTTCTTCATTGTGAATCTACAATTCAAACTGAATCTACAAAAAGCTTCTTACAAAGTGACACTCTACAATGTATCAATATTAGATAAATGACACATGCCTTATTCTATGTGTATTGCTTTAACAAGTGCCAGGCACTTTAAAATCAACAAGTAAATGAAACTTGATTTTCTACAGTTTTGGAATCTTGAAAAGCCAAGATCATGGCAAAAGTAGACAAGGTCACCTTTTGTTGGCTTTTCCCTGTTGCTAAGATGGAAGAGCAAAATAGCATCCTTTAGAGGGAAGACTTGCTGTGTGGAAAATCATTTTTGTGTATAAAATGAATAGACTTCACATATTTTGTGATACAGATCAAAAAGCATAAGAACTCATCCCTTTCCACTTCCTCTCTTCCTTTCCTGTCTTCCCCCTTATTGTTTTCAATAATTATTATTACGGCATATTTTCCTTTCTCTTCACAGTCAAAAGCTTAATGATGCAGTAGGTAAAAATATATTAGAGGAGAAATACAAAGATACTCTGCTGCTACTCAGGAGTAAAAAACAGGCTGTAAAGAGAAATGAATTAAATTCAAGATTGTTAATAGAGATTACTTTATTGGTGTTCTTTGTGTTGCCATAGATTAGAGAAAATATAAAATATTTATGTTTGGGTATGATTTATTTCACTAAGCATAGTGTTTCCAACAGGATCCATATTGTAAGTGGCTTTTTAATGGCTGAATAGCATTCCATAGTGTGTATGAACCATATTTTCTTTACCTAGTTATGAGTTGATGGGCATTTGGGTTAATACCATATGTCAGCAGCTGTGAAATTGCTGTTATAATGGTCTTACATCTCCTCGCAAGGGAGGAGTTTTACTGTCCTGCATTTAATGCTACCATTTGGGCCACCATTGAGTTTCAACATCTGAATTTCAGAGGAGACACATTCAGACGAAACTACGTGAGACTATTTGTTGATGCATAAAAGCATTATTATTGTAATGGTGATAAGGTTTGGTGTAGGTTATACTGATTTTCAGTGCTAATCTTTCTGAAAACAAGCAGTGCATATATTTATAATAATTCATGAGATGAAAGCTAACCTTTGAATAGCATCTTAATGACAGTTAAACCTTTTGAAGATATCCACATGAATAAAACACTACTTCAAGTCACTCCATAAAGAACTCCAGTAAATGGGTCAAGCTAATATTGAGAGAAGGTCATGGTGCCCAGATAGGTGAATTAGATTCTGTTACCTTACATTATTTTGTAAATGTCATACTTAACAGAAAATCCAGTATTTATTTTCTTTTCAGATGTTGAAGTGTCTGAGAACTTAGTGAATCAGGAAGCTTTAGTGACAGATAAGAATAAATCGTTTTTCTACTGCTCCTATAGAAGAGAAGCCATAGTATTTCAAGTTCTCAGAAATTGTTAATGGAACTGATGCATGAGTGGAAGAATAGAGTTGGTTATATGTACACTGAAAATTTATAAAACATGAGAGAAAATATGTACTAATAAGTTCAATGAAGTTGGGATAGAAGCATAACTTAGTATTTTAAGGACAGTCTTATGTATTCAAATGGGTTTTAGATTAAATGAATTTATTTCATATATGAAATGAATAAAATGTAAAATGTAGAATACAAGAAAAATACTTAGTTTAAGAGTGAAGTTTTAAAAATTAAGCATGTGGTGGAAGGAACAGTAGATATAACATTTGCTGTCTGTCCTCTTCTGTTGCTATTTATCAAATTTTCTTTAAAATTAACATTGAAATGGAAACTTAATCTATTTTATAAATCTTTTATTTTTATTGTAACAGTTCATAAGTGGCATTAGGCCTTTTCCTAGCATTAAGTTGAGACAATTTCATAACAGTTCTTTCAAGCAAGCATTTGAAAATTTTGATGCTTAGAAAGCTCATAGACAGTGTATATTTAAAAATGCCATGCAGTGTTAATCATTTTTACAGATTTTTTTTACAAAGAATTTTTACAAATTCTAATTCCACTTTCCCATGAATATTTTTAAATATAGCTAAATATATGAATATTGCTATATGAGATTTAGTCAAGAATATCTTTGGAAAAAAATATACAAATCACATGCCATATTATGGAGGAATCTTTAAAAGTTCATGAAAAAAAATGTACCTACACTTAACTCCATCTTTCCTGAGTATAGTAAGGTTATCATTCTTAGCTTTTTGAATTCAGAATTCCTTTCCAAAGTTAGAGAATTTTGATTTTGCACTTGACTTACTGTCTTACCTGGGTGGTCCTCAGAGCTCCTTATATCTGGGACTCCTCTCTCCACCGGTCTGTTGAAATCCAAGGAGTTATTTTTCTGATTTTTCTCCTATTTATTAACATCTTTTGATCATGGTCATTGACTTATTGCCATTTGTTATCCTTTGAGTATATTGACTTAACAGCTCAATGATAATCTTCTAGTACTACTTGTTACTACCTAATCAGAAATCATCAATCATTGGAGAAGTGTCGGTTTTTTTGCATCTGAAGCATGCTGCATTACTGTGCTTTTCTGGCATTCCTTCAAAGTATATTTCTCAATTTGAGTTTCTTACATTGAATTCAATTCTGTTACCAGTTAGGAATGCTATTGCAAATACCACATTAGAGCCAGAAAAGAATTACAGTTTCAATAAATCAGAGGTCATTTTCATTTCTGAACATACAACATAAGAATATTTCTGTAAAGCAACAGTATCACAGTAAAAAACTTAAATAAGAAAATAATAAAACTGTATTATTTTCTTAATGAAATAAGCTTCCATTGCTCCTTTGAATTCTTATTTATTTCTTTGTTATTTATTCATTTATTTTAATCAGTTGGTTCTCTATGAGACATTTCCAGTTCCAGTTCCTGTACTTGCTTTAAAAAATTGCCTCTTTAATTCTCACACCAAGTTCAATTCAGCCAGAATCAATTACTTTCTCCTTCCATTACTTTAACAAATATGTTTCTCTCTTTCTTACTCACACCCCTCAATTCAAATCTCTGATTTTCCAAGCAAGGACCAAATTACTGTAAGTTTCACGGACAGTCTCTTAGGCTGCTATTGGGAATAGAACTGGGACTGAGACCCAGGCACTCTCTTATGGAATATGACTCATAAGAGGCAACTTTCCTCTGTGCCAATGTCGTCCCTCTTTTATTCTCTTACCAGCTATGAACTAATTGCCTTTATTGAGTTACCAGTAACTCTCAGTTTTTATACATTTTCTTCATCTCATGGACATTATTTGTGCACTTATTTCTCCTCCTACCCCTAGAATGCTGTTTTCTAAAACACCACACACATGTTTACTAGTAGTTTGAATATCTGAACAGCTTATTTATTAATGCTGGCTAATCCTTCATTATTATTTTAAATTATTGTTTATGTGTAACGTATAGAATCATTTATATACTTGTGAAATGGATGTGTTATTGCTGCAAATGAAGTTTGTAAAATCATTAGGTAGGCTAGTGACATATACAATAAATAGTTGAATGATGCATGAAGAAACTAAAATATTTATGCATTAGGTAAATATTAGGCTCTTGCACAACTGAGGCAAACACCAGGTCCATTGTAAACCACTTTCCTATTCATTTTAAATAGAGTCCTCTACATGCATGCAATGTGCTGCAATCATTTATGAAGTAGATTTAATCTTTTATTTTCCTTAAATCACTGATTTGAGCTCATTGTTTTCTCAACTTAGCCCTAAGAAAAGTGTGGCCAGATATTCATTCTCTGCGTAACTGAAAGTGAACTATATTTCATTGCTTGTAGGATGGTATGGGAAATCTGAGAGTCACCAAGAAGGGAATCCGACTGGAAGGTATATCTGAGTTTCTACTTCCATTGTATGTGAAAGAAATTCATTCCAGAAAGGTATGTGATCCTGGCTTTGGCTTACCGTAAGGAATAATTTAGAAGTTACATTTTTAGCTTGAAATAGAGGACAGAGTTCCCTTGTCATCTCAAAATGTAGTTTCTTTAGCTAAGCACCTGTTTGAAGAAATGAAAATATGTAGCAATAGAAAAATCTTGGAGTTTAGTTTAAAACTTACAAAACAGAGGATAAATTACAGTGTTACTTTTTATTAGCCTATAAAAATATCTGTTTCAATTGAAAGTTAGAAACGCAATGATAGGTTTTTCAAAAGGGGTATTTACTAAAGTTGGAGTGATTTTTGCCAAGAATGTTGATTTTAAATGAATGATTTCAATTCAATACATATCTAACTTTTCCTCTTCATTGGACACAATGATTATTTTAGAGATTTAATACATTTCTTGGTACACATTTTTTGAAACGAACTACAATTTATATCCTTCAAGTATGTGTGAGTGTGTGTGTGTTGTTGTGTTTGCTGTTTAGTATGCTAAAGTTTAAAATTGAAGCTCAGTAATTGTTCATTTTGGTTCGTATTGTATTTGTAAGATAGCAAATACTTCAGGAATATAAAGCCTTACCAGACTACTATTCTCCTGGGAGATGTCTGTCTATGGAGTAAATTTGTCTATATGGAAATACATCTTATCAACAAGGAAATGGAAAGTTTGCAGTAAAGCTGCAGGAAAATACTAATCTTAATAGATATTCTTTTATACCAAAGTAGTTATTAATATTTTTAATATAATGCCATATCAAATGTGCTTTGTACTAATTCATAATTTGAGTAATTTGTTTCAAAGCAATTTTTTGTTAGTGTCAAAGTGAAAACAGAACAAAATGCTGTTTTTCATGACACTTTTACATAGGAAACTGTATTATCTTTAATTGCTTAATAGGTGAACTGGCATAGCTTCATTAATGCTACTTTAACTGCATTCTGAGTAATGGGAATTTAGTTTTGATGCCATTTTTTCAAATTTTAGTAAGGTAGATAACATAAAGACACATGTAATTGAATTTTCAAGCTGAATAAATTTAGGATAAAAAAAGTAGTATTTGTAACTTGTTTCATGAAAATAAAAATAACTAGCAAGTTTATGTATATCAGTATTCCCTTGTTTGGGAGTCACCACTCTTCACAGTAACATGCTTTGTCTTCAGAGCTGTAGACAACTTAATTTTTGGGAAAGCATAAATTTATAGTTGAAAATCAAGAAATTGCTTATCCCAGGAAGAATGTGAGAATAACTGTAAAAATAAGCTTTTTTGAAATGCATCTTAGTAAGAAGTCCAAAGATAACAAGGATGTTTATTATGACAGCCATTTAGACTAATTAGTAATAACTGCTCCAGGGCCCACAATTTAAGAAACATTTTGAAACCCTGTGTCAGCAAGAGGGTCACCAAGTTTGTTTCTCTAACGGAGACATTAGTGAGACCACAGCAACAAGTATAAACTTAGATTCTTCTAAGAAACAGAGATGTATTTGATTCCAGCCATTCCAAAGAACATAGACTTCTAATTTTGTTAGTGTAAAGTTGTGGCAAATGGGGTTCTTAACATTCATTGAGTGAGGTGAGGGCAGACATTAGTTCAAATTCATAAGCATTTCAAAAGTGCACTATATTGATTGGAAGGTATAAGGTCCTTTCCATGCCCCCAGCCCTGTTAGTTTTCCTCCCTCTGTCTCCTCTTACTATCAGTTACCAGGATCCTGAGAGTAAGGAAGCATGATGAGTCTTGGCAGGTGAGAACTTAAAGAAGTAGACCTGGTTTGAAGTAGGAGAATAAGGTTCACTATCCTTTCAAAAGCTTATTTACATAAACAATGATGCATGTTCAAAATAAGAAAAAAAATAGTTTAGACTTTATTTGAAGGAGTGACACAAGGAGAAAGAGGACAGAGTTGGACACTGAATTAAAAATGAAGGTGGGACTTTTTTCCATGTGCATGGTTCTGAGTTGCAGGTGTCCCAAACTTAACTTGCTGAACCACACATGGAAGCAGGACTCACACTGCAGTTTCATTTGCTTCTCAATGCATGAACCTGTTCACTTGCAGAAAAACTAGACACATTTTTTTCTGCATCTTAATCTTTTCATTATTAAAATGAGTTTGGTTGAAACTTAGCAAGATGCTTAATGCTTAGGTTAAAAACATGTTTCAGTGGTACTATTAGGAGTAAGTTTTTTCATTGATCCATTTCAGTGGTTTCATGGACTTGAACTTTTTAATGATAAAAATCTGTCAGGCAAGACTATTCAAATCAAACTTAACAGTTCAGTTCAGTTCAATTAAAGACTATGGGTAGTTTTTCAATGTGCATTTCCCCCTCTGTTCATGCCAGTCTGCTGCAATCTTCCTATTTCACCAGTCTTTTATTCTGCTGCATGAATTTTTTTTAAAAAGTTAAATTACTTTCTGCTGTGAAAGTATTGCATCATATACATAGAAAGGTAGCAACAGAGGTTTATAAGCAGCAGGCAATGCACAGTTGCCCAAAAACACGCACCTGCCCAAATCTGACCTAATCTAGTACCTCTATTCTAAAAGGCAATAAATAATAAATGCTCATACCAGGTCAAGTAATCTACACGTACTTGAGTCTATCTATAGCAATGACTCTCTTTTTGGAAAATGTGTCCTTTCTAAATGGGCAATCAAAATTGTACAGAAGCAGTATTGTTGTATTTGTGTTTACTTCAAAACTCATCACCGGTCCACATTTTGTTATGGATACTCTTATTGTTCAGCTCATTATTGAACTCATTCCTCGCTTACCTACATGTCTTTCTTAATTAGTTTTGTTTGTAAGTTTTAATTACTGAAATTCATTGATCTTACAATATTTGATCATGTACTTTATTCTTTTCAGAGATGCTATTTTATTCCTTCTTACTATGTCTTTCTCTATTAAATCCTAATGTTGAATGTTGACATAAAAAGTGCTAAGACAGTCTGGTATTACTCACCTGTGGATGGCATAGTATTCTGCTTGGATTCCTAGTGTATTTTTGCCATTTTGCTTCTTTCAGGAAAATTTTCTCTATTGTATTGCTGAAAATCTTTTAACTTCGTTTCTTGAGTTCTTTAGAAAAAGCAACATTTCTGTTGTTGGGTGATTTTGTTCTCATAACTACCATAATTTCTCTAAGTAGTTTAAGTCTTTATATATTTCTGTAAATAGAAGAAATTGTTATCTAGGGTTTTCTTTCATTTTTGTTGTTCTTCCCCATATGAGTGTTGCCTTTGTACTGGTAACTTCATGTATTTTACTCGCAGTGCTGTTTTTATTCTCAGATATTTACTGAAGTCTCAATTTTTGCAGGACTTCCTTTGCATATTACAGAACACATTCAAACTATTTTTCTTCTTTGAAAAGCTCAGAGAGATTTCTTAAAATTTTTGTTCCTTTAATAATTGCATGTCTCTTACAAAGCACATGGTAATTTTTAAGGCTCGTGTGAATAGCTTTTCTTTCATTTTTCCAATTGGACATAGTATAGAAAAGTGAACTGTTTTTGGTCTTGTGAGTACAACCTGACCATATCCTTCATTTTGTTGTTATATTTCAAATTTTTTTTTGTGGCTCACCAAGCACTCATTCTGTTTATTAATTGTATCTAGCTTTGAGTATGTAAGAGAGTTCCAGAGCCTAGCTTCTATTTTCCTCTTGGCTGTGTTGCCTAGCAGTTGTCTCAGAAATGTACTTAGCCTTTGCACTAGTTGCATCATTTGCACCATGAGCCTTAAAGTGGATCTTCATATAACACAGACAACAGAGTTATTGCTGTCAGTGCAGGAGATAAAAGCAGAAAAACCATTTCTACAATGCTTAACTCACAGAGTAATGTTTGTTATTTTATTGAATGCCAAAAATTACACCAAATAGCCTCTGTATTTGAGTTCATTTAGTTGTCACTCTCTGATGGGTATTATCATGCATAGTGTTTTTACGCCTCTTCCAAACCTGTTCTACAAATGATACTCAGATATTCTCTTGAAAGAGAAAAGGAAAAGCAACTACCACACCAAAGGCAAATGTAGAGAGCATCCCAGTTAACGGCCACCAGAAAATTAAATCAAACAATAACTCATTGCTAAAATGATAGGACCAAACACCCACCTTAAACTCATCAATTAAATGCCATAGATTAGAGGACTGGATGACATACATATGTGTATATGTATAAATATATATAAGATATAATTTATATATAATATATAATTTATAATATATAATATATGTATAATATATAATATATGTATATATGTATGTATATTATACATGTATGTGTGTATATATGTTATACATATATATATATATATATATGTCTGTTGCTTACAGGAGACACATCTCACCAACAAAGATTAGTGGAAACTGAAAGTGAAAGGGTAGAAAAATATATTCCAAGCTAATGGTAAGGAAGAATGAGGGAGTATAACCATTTTTATATCAGATAATAGAGACTTTGATGTAAAAACATTAAAAGAGATAAGAACACCATATAATGATGAAAGGATCCATTCAGCTAAAAGAGATCAGCATAATGTGTATGTGCCAGATAACAAGGCATCTTGCTACATGAAACGAATATTAATGTATTTAAAGCAAGAATTAGACTCCAATACAATCATAGTGGGGAACTTTAACACCCCTTTAAATGTCAATGGACAGATCAATGATACTGAAACACAACAAACAGAATTCACCCAGACACCAGATCAAATGGATTTAGTTGATATCTACCGAATCTTTCATCCTACAGAGAATACATATTTTTCATCAGTTACATGGAACCTTCTCTGGAATTGACCATTTATAGGCCACAAAATAAGCCTCAGCAAAGCTTTAAAAATTGAAATGATACCATGCATTTTCTCAGATCATCATGCAGTGAAACTAGGGACCAATAAGTCAAAACACCCAAGAAGACATACAAACACATGGAGACTGAATAATAAACAGATAAATGAGTAATGAGTTGAAG